TGATGCCCGGTATCGGTGTGGAGGAGGGCAATGTTTTACCAGGAACAGACACTAGTTCATAGTGTTGAAGGATTCCAGCAGAAAATAGAAATACACAATTTCTAGCCAGTACCTCTCCAAGGCAGCGTCTTTTACCTGAAATTAGGACATTAGAATGTTACATTTATGTGTAGATGGCTGTCTTCTGGGTTGTAGCGCCGTGTAGTCTAGTAGAAGTTTACCAACGTTTCAGAGGTCCTTGCTGCCTCCATTATTGCCCTGATGATGGAGGCAGCAAGGACCTCTGAGACGTCCATAAACTTCTGCCAGACTACATGACACAACCCAGAAGACAGCCATCTTCAGACTCATTGCTGTGAAAACCTCAAATCCTACTTACATTCATGTGTTAGAATGGTACCATAGCTTTAAGCTTGGAAATGTGAAAATAATTCAGAATTAAATCGTTTGAAAGAAAGAATGCATTTTAAAGCCTTGTAATAATAAATCACAATCTAGCGTGAGAATATTCAGTCATCATCATAGATTATCCAGAACACTGCCCATTGACCTTTATCAATCCTCTATCGCTATGTACACAATCTAATTGCAGTAGAACAGCATTAAACGCAGTTGTTAAAGTCTGGCCAGCCGTCACACAGCTCAGGGGTTTAAATTCCCACCACCCATATGATAAAGGTTAATAATTATGGAAGTATTTGGAAAAACTCTGTCTGTTCTTCATTCTATTTGTAACTTTAATAAGAGATGTCTGACTCGGAAGTTTAAACTTATCTAAGCATATACCATCAACTTTAGAGATGAAGAAGACATCATTTCCCATTGCAGTTTCTTACGTTACAGTTATTTCTTGCTAAGTCCTACTATAAAGGTGATGCATCCCATTGGAAATACATCACGGTTGAAATTAGCGTGAGGTGTCTGTGGTCAGAGTTAATTTAAATATCTTGTTATCTTCTAGGAAGTGTCAACTGGAGTTGTCATATAAATTGATGGCATTGCTGTTGGTAAAGGAAGCGTCAACTGGAGTTGTCAATATAAATTGATGGCATTGCTGTTGGTATAATTGAGTTACCTCAAACAGCACCTCTTTTCGTCTTTCTGAGCTTACCAACACCGAAGTTTAGTAACCAGTCATCCTTAATGAGTTCTCCATGCTCGTTGATGAATCTCTCAGGTCGGAACACATCAGGATCTCCCCAGTGTTTCTGGTCTCTGTGCACAGACCATAGATTGATAAGTACCGTCGTGTCCTGTTGAAACAATATTCGTTTTAATGCTGCACAGATCTCACATATTACTTACATTTCACCAGCCACGTGCTTTATCATAGCAGGTCTAGAATTGAAGTGTTTTCTGTTGTGCCTAATAGAAACATAGCAATTAAATGGTCTGGTAGCTTCACACAACTAACTCAATAGAATAGAGACCTTGAAAAGATGACAGTTGCTCAGCTAGTCAAGTAATTCTCCACATTTCATGGGACCTCAAGGTTCATTATTATGGCCAGTAGAACCTGTACCTATCCATGTTCTGAGTAAAATTAATCATGTACACACCCCCTCACCTTATTTCCTTAAGATCCATTTTAATATTGTCCTCCTATCTACACCTAAGTCTTGTGAGTGGCCTATTCCCTTCAGGCTTCTAAACCACAATTTATCCATGCATGCTATATGCCCTGTCCATCTCATCCTCTGGGATTTGTTGATCCTGATAATATTTCATACAGTTTTCTTGAGCTTGCCACTTAATCCGTCTTGGGACCAGATATTCTTCTAAGAATCTGTTCTCAAACACCCTTAATGTGTGTTCTTCCCTTAATATGAGAGGTCAGGATTCATACCCATACAAAACAAGAGGTAAACAGAATATGATGAGGCAAGAGATTTCGAACTGCGTGATAGAAAGTATTCCTCAAATTTAATGTATCAGAAGGTATTGAATTTAAATGGTAAGCTGAAGGGTTTATTAGATGAAGATTTCCGTCTTCTGGGTTGTTGCGCTGTGTAGTCTGGTCGATGTTAAC